TTTTTTTTCTGTGTTTTAAATATGTTGCACTATTTTGCAGTGAAGGCAAACAGGAAATAAGTTAGCGGGCAGTGTAGAAGTGTGATCACTGCTTGTTTCCTGATCTAAAGCAGTACTATAAAAGAACACCTAACAGCTCAAGCAGTTATTCCTGCACACTGAAAACTGCAGAAATAAACGTGAGTCTTGCTTGTTGTTCAACCTCAAGTTTTTTTGTACTTTTAGTGATTTCATGCTTAACTAAAAATATGATTTAACCAGCTCCTGACACATGAGAAGAGAAGCAGTGTATAATCCTTCTGTACTGCCATCTCAATGCCAATGCTGGCTTCTGACTGTGTTCCAAATGGGAAACCTGTAACACTATAACAAATTTGTCATTGACAAAGGCCCAAGTAATGCTAACTGCCCTGAAAATGAACCTTACACTCATTTGTAGCATTCATTATGAACACACCATTGTACGTAGCGTTGTATATTCAATAATGTAATATATTCAGGAATTTCTTCTCTGCACGTGGATATTTCTTCATAAATTGTGCACCAATCCCATGTCACAAGTTCTTGATAAGGATTATATCCAGTTAAATGCTGGTATAGAAAACAGCTTATAATGTTCAGAGTAATGGGTCAGTTAAGAGTCAGTGTTGGATTGCATATGTAGGCTAAAGATGAGAGATGACGTCTAACAGTGGTTTCTGTACTTGCATGTTAAGCTTTCAACTTTGTCTTCAAAGCTGCAAGACTGTAGGGGAAAGCAACCTGAGACAACTGTACACTGAATAGAATTAAACTTTCAGTAAACTCCTCCAGAAAGTAGCATGCATAAAGAGAGCTTTACTGAATCTTAAAGGCAACATTTAAAACTTGACTTTGATTAACACTAAGAGACTATGAAAGAGGGATCTCTGAAGGCAGATTTATTTTTCAGCTTTGGGAAAAATGAGTAACTTAAAAAATATGACTTCAACTTTGAGCCAGACGTGTGATGTTGTCGCCACATCAGTCAACTCTTTCTTTATGCTGGTCTACAGTCTGGTGTTTCTGGTATGTTTCAAATCTTCAGATTATGTTCTGTCAGAAATGTTATTAAAGATCGCTGTGCATGCACTAAACTCCTGCCTTCTTCATCTCTGTCCTTTCAGGTGGGTTTACCCCTCAATGGCTTCATCATGAAATTTTACTTTCGTCGTCAGCAGCAGACATTGAGCAGCTTGATGGTCTACATGAAGAACCTGACAGCTGCTGACTTCCTGCTTTGCCTCTCCCTGCCACTGCGAATCACTTTCTATGCCAGCAAGTCTACCATTGTTCAGCAGCTCTACTGTAGTTTTGGAGCTTCTGCCATGCTCCTCAACATGTATGCCAGCATCCTGTTCATGGGACACATCGCTGTTAACAGGTAAGTACAATCCCCGTTTCCCTGATCCAAGCATAGACATCTCTTTGTAACTTTCCAAAAGTTGATCCTGTTCGTCTGGACGTAGCGTTTTGTCTCTGGAGACTGAAGAAGTCGCTTGGATAAGTCACAAACGTTTCTCCCACAAAACGCTACGTCCAGATGAACAGAATCAACTTTTGGAGATTTACTTACCTGGACGATTGCAGGCATTTTAACCATCTTTGTAACTCAGTTATGTCTTCTGCAGATTCTCTTCCACTGTGACTGATCAGTGAAATTGCATACTGCCTCTTTTCTCTCTTCAGGTATCTGAAGATTGTTCACCCTTCAGGAACTCACATTCTGCAGTCAGTGCGAGCTGCCCACATCATCTCCATGGTCACCTGGGTTTGTCTCCTGGCTCCAGCAGTTATTTACACCATCTTGTTTTTCATCACCCAGAAGCCTCTGAACTCTATCCCCAGCTGCTGTGATCCATTCATTAGTGCATCAATTAGCCTGTTCTTCACAATCATCCACACTTTATCTACCATCATCTTCCTCTTAGTCTTCATATCCATGGTCTTCTTCTACTACAGCACCTACCGCAGGGTGTTGCAGGCACAGCAGAGGCAGCTGGCCTCCTCTGGCTCTGAGAAGCTGGTGAAGTCTCGCAGGAACATGTTGGTGCTGGTCAGCATCTTCTGTGTTTGTTTCGTCCCCTATCACCTAGTTCGGCTTCCCTCAACGTTTTTGACAAGCAATCGCTCTGTTGTTTCAGTCTTGAACTATATAATGGAGATGACCACGATGGTGGCAGTTTTCAATATCTGTCTGGACCCTGTTGTTTACTTTTTCCTCAGTAAGACTTTTCGGTCCCAGGTGAGGATGGTGTCCTGGAGAGGCAACATTCAACAAGTGAAAGAGCAGGAAGGAGCAGCTGGACATTGCTACAGCAGTGAGTTAAGCCAGTAAGTTGTTGCTTTGATTCTGACAGCGTGTCATAGATCCAAGTCCTCGTGAACCACAGCAGCTTCTGCTAAGCTAAAAAATCAATACAAGCCTGAACTCAACACAACACATGGACACCGTGAATGTCAGCAGTGTTTCATACAAAAAAATATGTGAAAACTGAATTTCTGTGTCTTAAAAGGCATTTGAGATATCAACCTTTCAGCATTGATTTGTGTTAAGATGTCTTAACTGCTGATGCTTATAAAGGAAAAAAGATTTTAACTGTTTTGCTACCCCACTGACTGATTTCACGTTTTTGGTCTGAAGTATAGGAAATGCATTTAATGAAGACGTGTGATGATGTATACAAATGTGACTCTTGAGTTGACACTTCCCTTTTGACTGGCGAAGCAACAGTGTGACAAGCTGTACGGCACTATTTTGGTAAAACAGGACCTTGGTGTAAAGGCTCATATAGATGTAATTCATAAGTCATGTCCGTAAACTTAACAAAAAGCAACGATTCTCTTCTGATCCTGTTTGAATTACGGAGAATTCAGAGAAGAAAAGAAATTCACATTTATACACGCAGTTCTTATTTTGTAAACTCCTTAAGGATGCATGTTTTACAATCATTTCACCTTGAAAGTGGAAGAGTTCAAAGAAATCATTAAAAACCTAAATTACCACGACATTCTTGTATAAAACGTTTAGACAATACCTATAAACCACGTTTGTAGTGGTTTTTCTAACCCTCAACCTTCCTGTCAGTCAGATTGAAAATGTAACTTGACTATGAAGAGTTTAGTTTAGTTCGATCAAGAAAACTTTGAGTCTTTTTCTTTTGTTTTATGTTTT